CACATGTATTATGTAGAATATATATTTTATCACTATCTTAAATCTGAAAGACTAAGTTTGACATGTATCTTGAGATAAGAGTTTAGGGTAGCGTTGTGGATCTGCACAATCTTAGACTGCTTAAATAGAAACTTGGCACACGATCCAACTAAAAAAGTGATTTCAGAATGTGACTAATATGACACACCCGGATTATTATGATCAACAAGGTGGAGCATCATAGGAAATAAATCAAGATTAGGAATAATTACATGATAAACATTTAAAAGACTGCTGCTATTGTTCACCCATCAGGAAAGAAGTCTGAGGGTTTTTAATGCAGATATGTTTATACATCTAGAAAAAAATTATGTGTGAATGTAATGGCTAATATGTGATTGTGTTTATTCTGGAGATCAGATCTAAATATAAGGAGTAGATATTATATTTTTTCAGAGAATTCTATTTCTCTCTCTCTCTCTGTGAATACACACACACACACACACACACATAGAGAGAGAGAGAGACACATGAATACGTGTATTGATAGTAAATACCATATATTCATATATTTATACTAAATAATTAAATGAAACACACACATATATATATGAATGAGTTAACTCATTGTAGGGTAGTGAGGTTTGAATCAAATAGAAAGAATAAATAAATGTCTGATGAATAACCATCAAGACAAAATGGTTAGATGGTGGCTCAAGGATTTTGTAAAAGGTTGGATTAGAGAATATAATACACAGTTTGAAAAGGGGCAATGTTCTTAAAATGTTAACATTTACAAAGTGACTGATCTTCCCCTTCTAAGGTCAATGGCACGTTTGAGAGTGACTCATTTAGTTCATGTCTCATCTGATGTTAGAGACACAACTCCTCTTAGAGACACAACTCCTCTTAGAGACTGTTCTTCCAAAGAAGAAATAAAAGCCATGGGTACCAATTTCAATGGCCCAGATCTTCCAGGTGAAGGAGGAAAAATAATTATTTGTACACTATTCCCAAATATCCTATGTGGAAATGAGCTAGAATTACCCCTTGGGAGTTGTTTCTTTAACAAATATATCTCTCATCAGAATTCTGCATAAATACTGAAGATATATAAAACAACCAGTATTTAGGTCATGCTCAGAAACCGCAAAGAGAAAACTGTGGCTGAGGTAAGACAAGTCAAGGATTCCAATGCAACAAGGAAGTTTAACCACTTCCATTTGATGGACATTGGTTGAGAATATGAGCTTGGGGTCTGGGTTAGATAAACAGGTGTTTGAATTCCTTTATGACACATATTAGTTGTGTGAATTTAGGCTAATTCCTTAACTTGTATAAGGCTCAATTTCCTCTCCATAATAATATAAATAAAATAATATACGGTCTTCGCTTTCTTGTTTTTTATTCACTTTTTTTTTCTTTATCTCTCTTTTTTTTTTTTTTTTAAATTTTTTTTTTTTGCCTATGCTGGAGTGCAGTGGTGTGATCTTGGCTCTCTGCAACCTCCTCCTCCAGGGTTCAAGGGATTCTCCTGCCTCAACCTCCTGAGTAGCTGGGATTACAGTTATGTGCCACCATAGCCGGCTTATTTTTGTAATTTTTTTTTTTTTTTTTTTTTTTTTTTTT